TCCTTGGGTTACCAAACTGATTAATCTGTCACTTTCTTCTGGTGTTTTTCCCAGTTGCTTTAAACATGCGTTTGTGGAACCTCTTAGGTATTTTGATGTATTACTGTTTTAAACGCTCCTCTTTAAGTAATCATATATTAATGAGAAAGCCACAGGGTTTTTTCTCCTTTCCATAGCTCTGGAATGTGGGCAAGGGGGTTGGGGAATAATGTGTGGCAACTCGTATCCTTGGATATAAGTTGCTGGCTGTCAGTCATAAATTAAGAGTCAGCAAGTTGGTTTTCAGCAGATAACTCTGTAACTTGAGACTTCCTTTTTTGAGAAGGTCCCGCCTTAGAAGTGCTGTAATTGGTTAACTGTAAACAGTGGTGAATGGTTCTTTGTCCTTCGTTCCTGTCTTTCAATAAAACTGACTGTGGTGCAGAGAACGGGCCAGAGTTGATATGACGGAGGCCCGGAGGGGCTTCTGGCATGTCTCCTCTCCGCTGCATGCAGCGTAAAAACCTACTGACATCTCTCCTGTGTGTGGTTCATTTTGGGTTTAGTTTCAGGATCTAGGAAATACCCAACAGAACCTCTTCTCAAAAAATCAACTTTGGACCCAGCAGAGCCCAAAAATTTTAGACCAAAATCAAAACTTCCATTCTTGTCTAAAGTTTTAGAGAAAGTGGTCTCTGAACATCTGGTATCTTTCTTACAGGAGCACAATGTTTTTGACAGGTTCCAGTCCGGTTTCCGTAAGCACCACTCTACGGAAACTGCGCTGCTTAAAGTGTCCAGTGATATTCTGATGTCTGCAGACACTGGCAAATGCACTGTGCCAGTCCTGTTAGACCTCTTGTCTGCATTTGACATGGTCAACCAAGAGATCATGTTGAGTAGACTCCGAGATTTGGTTGGGATGTCAGGTCCAGTCCTGGCATGGTTTTCATCCTATTTATCGGGTAGAAGCCTCAGTGTCTCAGTCAACCAGATCTTGTCTGACTCAGTTGAACTGTTGTGTGGAGTACCCCAGGGCTCTGTTTTGGGCCCGGTTTTGTTCTTGCTTTACAGTCTTCCTTTAGGGAAAGTTAATGCGGAAGTTTGCCGATAATGTTTCCTATCATCTCTTTGCTGACGATCTTCAGCTGTATTGTTCCTTTAGGTCCTCTGAGGTTCAAAAATTGAATTCCTTATTGACTTGTCTTGAGCGCATCAAAGAGTGGCTCGGTGCAAATGCCCTACAGCTGAATTCAGACAAAACTGAAGTGCTGGTGATTGCCCCTGATAATGCTACTCCAGGGATTCACCAGCACTTAGGTGATTTGAGCTTGTCCATAAAACCAAGCCTTAGAATTCTTGGTGTTTTCTTTGACAAAGGAATGTCTCTTGAGCATCACTCAAAGCAGTTGACTAGAAATTGTTTTTTCCATTTGAGAGAAATTTCCAAAATCAGAACAATTGGTATCCTAAAATTAGGGATGTCCCGATCAGGTTTTTTTGCCCCCGAGTCCGAGTCATTTGATTTTGAGAATCTGCCGATACCGAGTCCCGATCCGATACTTTCTATACATAAAAAAATAAATAAAGAAAAGGAAGAAACAGTTCCAGAATGTTCCTTATTTTTTATTTAATTACCTTTTTATTTTAATTTTTAACAACAGATCACTTCTGTGAGGTAGCTTGAACAATCAAGTAATAAACAACAAATTATTCACTTTTGGACTTTATTGCAAATATAAAAAGTCCTTAAACTGAAGTCTTAAAAACTTCAGTAAAGTTAGCAAGATTCGACTTTTGCGTCTCAATACCTTCGGAATAGAGGGGTATTTAGAAACATAACATACCTCTTTGGTATCGTGGCAAGGTAGTGAACAAGCTACAACCTTGTTTCTTTCAAAAAACACTGTCCTCAGCTCCCCACGAGCTAAACTGTGCTCTATGAGACCACGAACCTGCCGCTAGCGCTCAGGGACCGTCTGAAAATAGACTAACTGGAAACAGCTCTTGATCAAATATTAAAGAACACCACCCCTGTACACTGCAGCGTCACCAAATTCTTAAAATATAACACTACAGACATGTTGTTCATCCTACAGTAGTTATTGTAATCCAGTAACATATTTGTGTATTTTAATTTTTCTAAGTTTTTTAATTTTGATATCTGCTCCATTTTAAAACGTATTGACACCAAAATCACACAGCACATTATTATTGGATAAAGTTATTATTTATACCTTATAATTATCAATATTTCCTACATTGAAAATGTTATTGACACCAAAATAATGCCAAATAATTAGCACTTACTTCATCTACAGTCTGCACCTTTTATTTATTTATTTTTTGTACTTCTCTGATTTAGGTAAATTCTTTCAAACTAAGAGATTTCAATAGCTCCTACACTGTAAACTCTGTTGACACAAAATCATGCATGCTGGTCAATACTTAGCTGCTCTAAATACTACAATATTAATTTTGAGGAAAAAACACTTCTCTGATTTTTTGTGAATTTTTAAAATATTCTCATTTTAATAGCTCATACACTGTAAACTCTGATGCCTCAAAAGAAGAAGGAAATATCATTTCTATAGCGCCTCTCAAGATAAAAATCATGAGGCGGTTCACAAAAACAAAAAATGGAAAAATATAAAAAATAATTAAGAAAATGGTTCAAAATATGTTTAAAATGAGCAAAAAAATAGACAATTGTGATTAAAAAAATGTTAAGAAAGAGAGACAGTGACTAGGAAAGAGGGAAATCAGTGGATCCTGAGGAAGGTGGAATAGGTGGGGAGAGCAGAATAAAGAGAGAGTGGTTGAAGAAGGTCATACATAAGACAGCTTGAACAAGTGAGTCTTCAGCTGCTTTTTAAAGGAGACCACTGAGTCCACTGATCTCAGGCTCAGGGGGAGAGAGTTCCAGAGTCTGGGGGCCACAGCAGCAAATTATCTGTCACCTTTGACCTTTAGCCTGGTGCTGCACAACCAGTAGGCTTTGATCACTGGACCTCAGGGACCTACTGGGGGTGTAGGGACTAAGAAGATCACCGATGTAAGATGGTGCTTGTCCATGTAAGGCCCTATAGACCAGAACCAGGATCTTGAAATGAACCCTGAAGTTGACTGGCAGCCAGTGAAGCTGGAGAAGTGGGGTGATGTGGGTGAGTTTGGAGGACTTGGTCAGAAGCCGAGCACAGGCATTCTGAACCACCTGTAGACGGTTCAGGGAGGTTCTGCTCAGACACGTGAAAAGAGAGTTACAGTAGTCTAAGCATGAGGAGATGAAGGTGTGGAGAACTGTCTCAAGTTCAGAGTGGGACAGAATGGGACTCAGCTTAGCAATGTTCCTGAGATGGAAGAAGGAAGTGCGAACAAGAGAACTGACATGAGAATCCAGGGTGAGAGCTGGGTCAAAGGTCACGCCAAGATTCCTGACGGAAGGTTTGGTGAGGGAAGCAAGCTGACCAAGAGAGTCTCTGACTTTGGGAACCAGCTTGTCTGGAGCACAGATGAGGATCTCAGTCTTATCTTCATTCAGCTGTAGAAAGCTCCCAGCCATCCAGGTTTTACAGCTGCAGCTTAGACATCTCATGGGGCTTAAAGGAGATGTACAGTTGAATGTAATTTGCATAAAGATGGTAGGAGATTCATTTGAAGGAGCTCAGGATGTGTTGAAGAGGAAGCAGATAGAGGAGGAAGAGCAGAGACCCCAGCACAGAACCTTGTGGGACACCATGGGTCAGGAAGGTGCTGAAGGACCGAAACTTTGAGACGAAACCCTCAAACAGATTAGAGGAGAACCACTCCAGAGCAATTCCTGATAGACCTACGCTGTCTCCCAGCCTATCCATCCACTTATCTGTGGAAGTTACAAGGTCACCTGTCAAACACCACCAGGATCAAAAAACACCAGCTGGTGATTTTAAGAGCTGATGATGTTCATAAATGTTATTTCAAACTGTGTTTAATAAAGCTACGATGGCAAATCTGCCAAACAAGCCATCTTAAAGGTGTAAAACACTGAAAATACATAAAAAAATATATTATTTCTAATTATAACTGGTCATTTTTCAGTTTTTCATGCAGGCTGAACATGAAAATAGTCTTCCACTTCTACCTCCTGCATTAGCCTCTGATAAACTATGAAACTCTAGGATTTGAAAAGCCTGACAGATTCAACTCACACCATCACTCAACATTCATGGACTGACCCATCTTTGCTCGCGACAAGGAAGGCTGTTGTTGTTTCAGCGTCCAGGAAACAGCAGAGAATATCTCAGCTAGTAGAAGCTAACCTTTAGCATTAGCTACTCCACCACACAGCAGAACTCCTCCATGCTTTTGTTACATTTGTGGAGATAAAACATCAACACACTCACGTATTTAGCAACAGAATTAATTAATTTAAGCATTTCTGATGGCAGCTGTAGGCAGCAATCTATTTGCATGAGTGGTTTTGAAAAAAATACATAACTTCAAGGATGGATAAACTTTTTTGGTCTTTTTGCCTCTAAGTCATGTTTGGTTTCACTCATTCATGCATTCACACAAACATTCTACATGGGGTCCTGTGTTGTGTCAAAAGCCACTTCAACATGTGGGAGAAGGTCAGTATGAAGACCTTGCCACAGACAAGAGCAGACAGCAGCCGTTAGGAACAGTGTGATGGAGGGTGACAGGTCCACGATGCTTTTGAGTCGATGCAAAGGTTTTCATAATGGAGGTGATACATGGCTGTATTGTCACAAGCAATGGCTGCTGATGATTGAGCTCTTTCATGCATGCCCTTTTATATCTCTTTGATCCAGTTCAGGGACAGAAGGAGCTGATGTCTAGCTCCAGTGGTCTTTGGACGAAGTGGTGATTGAGGTGCACCCTGGACAAATCACCAGTCCACCACAGAGATACATGGAGACAAAGAACCAGTCACACATGTACTTCTACCATGTGTCAGTGTAGAGTTGTTAGAGCAGAATGCACGACTAAAACATTTATCAACTCATTTGTCGGTTTCACAGAACCCTTGAGGATCATGCTTCTTGGGAAAAGTGGAGCAGGCAAGAGTTCAAGTGGGAACACCATCCTAAATAAAACTGTGTTTACATCTGACATGAAGCTGAAGAGAGTCACGGTTGACTGTGAAAAGGAGGTTGGGATGGCTGAGGACACGCCTGTCGCTGTCATCGACACACCTGGGCTTTTTGAGCAGGACCGAGACAAAGAGGTCATTATTCGAGAGATTCTGAAGCGCGTGAAGCTGCAGGAGCCAGGCCCTCATGTCTTTGTGTTTGTGGTTCCTCTGGGAAGGATGACGCAGGAGGACCAACACACCCACAAGTTGATCGAAGCCAGGTTTGGCCCCCGAGTGTGGGACTACACCATCGTCCTGTTCACCCACGGAGACCGCCTGGAAGGTAAAACTATAAATGACGTCATCACGGAAAGTGACGAAAACCTCCGCAGCTTCTTACGTAAGTGTAGTGGTGGCTTCCACGTCTTCAACAACAAAAACTCCGAGGACCAGACGCAGGTGGTGCACTTAATGGAGAAGATCCAGACCCTGGTGGCCTTGAATGGAGGCGGTCACTACCACGCCCAGCTTTATCCACATCAGGAGAGGCTGATCAGGGAGAGACAGCTGAGCATCCTGGCAGAGAGAAGTGAAGCTATCAATACCAAAGAGAGGGACCTCCAGAATCATCACCAGGGAGAGGAACTCAACATGAAGATCCGTGAGCTTTGGAGAAAAGAGGAAGAGAACGCCAGAAGAGCTGCAGAGAAAAAGTTTAGAAACAACAAGATTCTGTCTTTCATCCTGATTCTGGCGTTTGTGGCTGTGGTGTTTGGCTTTGCTCTAAATGTTCCAGCTGAATACCTGATACCACTTACAGTCATTTGGATCGGGATGTTCTTCTTGAGTTTCTCTAAATGAAATATCCAAGTTTTCAAGGAAAAAATTACCCAGAGTGCTGCGCAGTTACGATCCAATTGTTGCCAGTGGATAAACAAGTGTCATGTTTCTTATGAACTTATTTTCTGTAGTCATAGATGATTTATTTTAAATTTCTGTCTGTCATGGAGACATGACTTTACATTTGGGTCACTACAGGAGAGCATGCAACTTGGAAAGTAATACATGTTAGCATTGAATGACCATTGTCCAGACATTTTGCTGCTCATCTAATAATTAAACTCATGTTGATAATGTAATAAAACTCATAATTATGTTTGTTTTATAATAAAAATATTAATTCCACCACATTAAAAAAACTGATGGGATTGGTTGAGCCCAGGTTTTGTTTACACATGTGACACATACCTTATGGTATACTTACAATAACACGTTTGTTTTGTTGAATAGACTACGTATATTTTGGTAGGAGATTACGTATCTAACTACTAACTAAATCACACAATATTGCAGACTATTCATTTATTTCCTAAGAGCATCTTTGTCAAGTACACAAGAAAGTACTAGCATCCATGGGTACTACGGCCCTAGTAAAAAACCTGGAAATTCCCTCGAACGCCCAACCTTGATTTACCACCACCACCACCATCTTTATTTATAAAGCACATTTAAAAACGGCATGGCAGCCGACCAAAGTGCTGTACAGAATAAAAAGTAAAAACACAATATAAAACAATACACTGTCAACAATAAAATGCACAACAAGGCAGATAATTACAGTCAATAAAAAGACACATAAAATAATAAAAGTCAGGGATTTAAAAATGCCTGGTCGTAAAAGTGAGCCTTCAGCAGCGATTTGAACCGGAGGAGGGATGGTGCCAGCCTCACCGAAAGAGGAAGTGCATTCCATAGTGTCGGAGCAGCATAGACAAAAGCACGCTGCCCCCGCGTTTTGTATTTCATTAATGGAACACGAAGCAGCAGGCAATCAGCAGACCTCAACGCCCGGTTTGGCACATATCTACTGACAAGATCCGACAGGTAATCCGGTGCCAGACCGTTCAGGGCCTTAAAAACAAAAATCAGGATTTTAAACTTGACTCTAAAGTTTACGGGTAGCCAGTGGAGCCGCGCCAGTACAGGTGTGATATGTTCTCTCCTAGGAGTGTTTGTTAAAAACCTGGCTGCCGCGTTTTGTACGACCTGAAGCCTGTTAAGAGCGGAGGCAGGTAAACCAATTACAATGGAATTTGCATAATCCGCAACATGGAATTGGATGTTCACTAGGTCTCGGGCAAATTTATGTCCTGAAATTGTTTCCGAGGCAGTTGTGGCGAAAGAGGTGGTCGGTAGTTCCTCCAGATGGCGAAATAGATGCTCTTTAATTATCTTCATAGAGAAAATTGTATGATAGGAATGAGAATTGGTCTTATCTTAACCCTTTATAGGGCCAATGTCTATATTTAGACACTTCCACTAACATCATATATGATGTCGGTGTGCCTTTTCACAAACTCTTAGAATTACAGGATTTCACCAAAACAATCTTCGGAGATCAAGTTAGTCACGTTTTACTCTGTGGCGCCATTCCAACAATCGGTGCAGGGCTATGACTCGCCACATATTGGTGTGTGAGCCAGAAACTGCTCGGTCTCCTGTCGTGTTTACGGTCAGATCTCTGAAACTAACACTAAGTTTATGAAACGCTCACATCACAAGGTTGACTAGTGCTGCTAAATAAGGGTACGTGTGTTGTAAACGTCAAGGAAGTTGGTGAAATCTAATCTGTCATATTTGAACAAGAAATTATGATTATTTTTAGGTCAAATATGTTTTTATTATAATAATCTATATTTGATTAGAAATATTGTCTGTTGTTCAATAACTTTTTTCAACAAAAAACAAAACAAATTTCAACACCCTGGGGTTTAAATAATTAAAATACTTCAATGAGTGCACTGTAATTCAAGTTTTTTCAATTCAAGTTAATTTATAAAGCGCCAAATCACGACAAGAGTCGTCTCAAGGCACTGCACGTAGTGAACATACAGGTCAGGTCAGTTCATTAAGCCAATCAGAAAAAAGTTTCCTATATAAGGAACCCAGCAAATTGCATCGAGTCACTGACTAGATGCAATGACTAGTGTCAGTGACATTACAGCAATCCTCATACTAAGCAAGCATGCAGCGACAGTGGAGAGGAAAACTCCCTTTTAACAGGAAGAAACCTCCAGAGAATCCCGCCTCAGTATAAGCAGCCATCCACCACGACTCACTGGGGATCGAGAAGACAGAACAGACACACACACACGCACACACACACACACACACACACACACACACCAAGTAGTGTTTCTATGGTTACATTGTGGTTACTTAGTAAATATTCTATTTGGTGAGAGATAAACTTTACTGTATTTATCCTAGTGAATCTATAATTCAATGGATAAACTAGTAGTAGCACATTCAATGTCAAAGAAAGTAAAATGTTATTATCAGGAGAGGGAGAAGTGGTTAGCAGCAGTGTGCTAGACGATGGCCCCCTCCATGAGGCCACCACAGCTCAGCAGAACATCATTGTAGCTTCTTCTGGGGAGAAAAACACTTAGAGAGAAAATAAAGTTAACAGCTGAAATAATACAGTTAAAGAGCAGATTGTAGAAGAAAGCAGTAGAGTGTGGAAAGTGGTCAGTGTGTCCTCCAGCAGTCTAAGCCTAAAGCAAAATAACTACAGAGATAACGTCGGATATCCTAGCCTTTTAGATGGAGGCATGTTGGAGGCAGGGCAAGGGAGAACCATCTTTACAAAGGGTTAAGACAGACAAAGAGCCTCGTGGGTAAAGGGGCAGCTGTCTCATGTTGTGATGACTAACGAAAAGGGTAATGCAAGAAGTTAGTCAAGCTGTGAGGCTGCGATTGTAGCTAAATAGACATGGTATTTTTCAGGGAGTTATTTTAAATGGCTTCTTATGGTTTTGAGTATTGTTCTGCACTTGATTTTCTCTGAAAGGGTTTATCAGGGCTTACACTCATGATTGGAGGCTGTGTGAAGATCAAAGCCAAGCAGAGGAGGGGTGTGTGGATTTTACAGGAAGTCAAGGAGCCTTCATAACAGGTGTTGAAGCTGCTCCACGTTTTGTAGCAGCCCTAGAAACGCAGACCGCAGAGCCAGACGAAACCTCCTGATAAGAATGAGCGTGCATATCGCAAGTGGCGATGGCCAGGGACCGAGTGGGAATGAGACCGGGAACAATTATATGCCGGTAAGCCTCTGGAGGAAATGGACAGGGATTGTGTATCTCAGCGTTGTTTTTGGCTTAGTGATGCAATTCTATTATATGTTTTAAAGTGGCTTGTGTATGTTGCTATTAATTCTTGTAGATCTGTTTGTATGGGACATTACTACCTCTGTGGGTGTTTGATTTTTCTTTACTTACTGTGGGAAGGGGGCATTATGCAGACGACAAATCAAGTTAGTCTTGGATTGGCGGTCAGTGCAGTTCACGTCTTTGAGTGAGGTGTGGATGGCTGCTGATGAGGGTTTAAAGGGGTTTTCCCAGTTATAGTCACATATCGGTGCCTCAGGACCTTGAACGAAAGGCCGATGCCAAAGTGGCCAAAGTGGTTCTGGTTTACTGTGGTGGCTTTTGGGGATTTCAAGTTTTATTGGGCCTTTGAAAATCTCACAACAAACAATGTATCTGTATTATTTAACAGGGAGAAGAACTGGCGGTCCACCAGTGCCCAGTCCATCAAGACAGTAGACACTTTATTCCAACCGTAACTGGCCTTAAGTGTGCCCTGTGCTGTTTAAGTAACAATGTGCAGGGCTTTCACCCTCAGGGTGGGGAGCTGTCGACGGATGTTACTTGTGCGCTTGATCATAACAATATGTTAGTGTTCTTCTGCTCTAGAAGACATGATGATGAATCTTTTTGTTTCTGCTGTAACTTAAGGGAACATTTAGCTGACTTGCATTCAAACAGGAAATTTGCCCCCGAAGTAGCTGCCCCCGGCCGATCGAAAGGGAGTCGGGTTCAGATTCCCGAACCTGGAGTGGCGGAGACAGGCGCCGCGAGCCGTCCAGTGCGGTAACGCAAACGAACTCAGAGAAGCTGGCGGGAGCCCCGGGGAGAGTTCTCTTTTCTTTGTGAAGGGCAGGGCGCCCTGGAATGGGTTCGCCCCGAGAGAGGGGCCTGTGCCCTGCAAAGCGTTGTGGTTCCGGCGGCGTCCGGTGAGCTCTCGCTGGCCCTTGAAAATCCGGGGAAAGGGTGTAAATCTCGCGCCAGGCCGTACCCATATCCGCAGCAGGTCTCCAAGGTGAACAGCCTCTGGTAGGGAGCAGTCGCCCTGTCACCCTCCCCTCTCCACCGCCTTGAAGCCCGGTTGCTCGGCCTGGCTCGTGGTGGGGCCCCCTTCGTCCGTCGCGCCTCGTGGATTGGCGGGCGGTGGGACTGAGTACAGATGAGAAGTTGCTGCTTTTGAACTAAAGTTACACAGGGAAGAGGCTACTCCCTCAAACACTCTTTCTCTGGTACTCAAAACATCTTCTGGGACCGAGTCTTTCCTCCTTGCCTCGGCAGTATTTGGAGCAGGAGTCTGAGAAATTGATGAGAAATTTGGACATTAGGGGACCTGCCTGATCAGCTGAGCCCTATTAAAGAAGATCGGTGGGCTGACTTCCCGGCTGTTAACCAAGCAGCTAAGGAAGTTGCAAATAAACATCGTGGTTACCAGATCCACGAGGAAGCTGGACATGTTCTGGTAAACAAACATGCCGGGGGGCATCACCTGAAAAAGGAGACACCAGGTGATGTTCCATGATTCTTTGAACTTATGTCAAACAGCACAGGAACATGTGTCTGACTCTCTTTTCATGAAAACGAATGACTTTGGAGTGATTCCACAGATGTGCTTGGAAGCTGGCTATGCCAGTGTGTTCTGCATGGTGGAGAGTGAAGGATGGCTTGACTAAATGGAGTTGGACAATTCTACATGCTGTATCATATGAATTGAATCAACAGGAGACTGGCAGGTGGAACGGGCCTTTATTCACGGGCCCTAACCCTCACGCGTGTGAAAATTCAGAAACGATGCAGCTTTGTGTCGCTCTCATCAAAAACCACAGCGTGGGCGATGTTCTGCTATATTACCTGTTTCTCTTTTTTCCCCCGTGAATTTAAGGGTAACTCAAGCTCACCTCTGTATGGAAATACAGCAGAAGTGACACTGATGAAAGTGTGTTGAGGGTGGCGGTTTGTACTCTGCTGTGTCTGTTAACAGGAAGTGGTGGAGTCAGGAAGTACGTGTGTTTAACACGTATAACGTGCTTCTGCAGCAAAACTTGTGGCGGCTTGATGAAAAAAACCAGCTGAAGCTAAAACCTTAGATGGTGTAATTTTTCCACTCACCTTTGATGCCTAGCAGGCATCCAGTTAGGGAATACATAAGGAAAAAGGAGCAAATTGCTTTCTTTCAACAAGATGCCGAGAAGTTTCGTGCTTCGGTATTAGGATAAGGGGTAGATACTGTTAGATAAAAACTGATATTAACAGTATTGAACTGATATTAATGTCTTGACTGTTAAACATCTGGTGT